CAGAACCCTGAGACTATCAAAGAGCAGGTGCATTTATACGGAGACTTGATTACACACAGGTGCATTCTATTTATCATCATCAGTCATTTAGGACAACATTGGATCATTCAAAGATCCTCACTGAACTTCTGGAGTGAGTTTGCTGCACTGAAAGTAAAGGGGCCGAATAATATTGCACGCCCCACTTTTCAGTTTTTTATTTGTTAAAAAAGTTTAAATTATCCAATACATTTCATTCCACTTCACGATTGTGTCCCACTTGTTGTTGATTCATGACAAAAAATTAAAATTTTATATCTTTATGTTTGAAGCCTGAAATGTGGCGAAATGTTGAAAGGTTCAAGGGGGCCGAATACTTTCGCAAGGCACTGTACCTTAACCTTTTCACTTAACCTTTAGATTTATACCCCACCCCCTACTGTGTTCAGGGCAACCATGAATAATAGATTCTGAAAAAAAATCCTCTAAAAAAATGTGCTTATTTCTAATAATGAAACATCTAATTTGTAGTGAAAGGGAAAGATTTTGGGGAACGAAGCACACCCAAGTATTTATACAGAATGTACAGATCCAAAGCAGCTACTATTTTTGAACTATTTTCATCACATTGTCATGCATCTCGTCATGCACCTCGCATATCGGGCCTGAAGTGTTGCTCACACAATAACAAACTGGACAGGCTCTCAAACTGACCGCTCATTTCTTCAGCTGCAGAACACTCCTCCCTGTGTCCAGTTCCAGACTGGAGACGGGATATTTTCACACAGCGGCTGTGAGCATCACTGAAGACACTACCTCCCTGAGTGACTATCCATCTTCATCTCTACATCTCTGCTCCGCTCTTCTGTCAATCGAACCCCATTAACTCTCCTCTCCCCATTCCAGTCTATTACACAAGTCGCCTTCCACCATCAGTCCCCCTTTTTTGTACTGTAATACGATACGTGGACAATCAGCTCAGAGCTTACATGAGTGTGGTCGTTACTGACTTTACAGCTGGGAGCGCGCAATGGGAAGACGCACATCTGCAGCACCTTGTAATATCTTGGCCCAACTTAGATTCGGCATAAACAAAGAAACCGAGGAAGGGAACAGAACTGGGCTTGAAGGATGAACTTTAGACTAAAGTTAAAATGGCAAAGAGGATTCAGTGTCTAAGGATTTAAATTTAAATATATATACAGTGAGGCAAAAAAGTATTTAGTCAGCCACCGATTGTGCAAGTTCTCCCACTTCAAAAAGTGACAGAGGTCTGTAATTGTCATCATAGGTACACTTCAACTGTGAGAGACAGAATGTGAAAAAAATCAAGGAATTCACATTGTAGGATTTTTAAATAATTTATTTGTAATTTATGGTGGAAAATAAGTATTTGGTCAATAACAAAAATTCAACTCAATACTTTGTAATATAACCTTTGTTGGCAATAACAGAGGCCAAACAATTACTATAGGTCTATACCAGGTTTGCACACACAGTAGCTGGTATTTTGGCCCATTCCTCCATGCAGATCTTCTCGAGAGCAGTGATGTTTTGGGGCTGTCGCCGAGCAACATGGACTTTCAACTCCCTCCACAGATTTTCAATGGGGTTGAGGTCTGGAGACTGGCTGGGCCACTACAGGACTTTCAAATGCTTCTTACGGAGCCACTTCTTCATTGCCCGGGCAGTGTGTTTGGGATCATTGTCATGCTGGAAGACCCAGCCACGTTTCATCTTCAAAGCTCTCACTGATGGAAGGAGGTTTTGGCTCAAAAGTCGTCCTGTCCCCTTAGCAGAAAAACAGCCCCAAAGCATGACGTTTCCACCCCCATGCTTCACAGTAGGTATGGTGTTCTTGGGATGCAACTCAGTATTCTTCTTCCTCCAAACACAACGAGTTGAGTTTATACCAAAAAGTTCTACTTTGGTTTCATCTGACCACATGACATTCTCCCAATCCTCTACTGTATCATCCATGTGCTCTCTGGCAAACTTCAGACGGGCCTGGACATGCACTGGCTTCAGCAGGGGGACACGTCTGGCACTGCAGGATTTGATTCCCTGTCGTTGTAGTGTGTTACTGTTGGTAACCTTTGTTACTTTGGTCCCAGCTCTCTGCAGGTCATTCACCTGGTCCCCCCGTGTGGTTCTGGGATTATTGATCACCGTTCTCATGATCATTTTGGACCCCACGGGATGAGATCATGCGTGGAGCCCCAGATCGAGGGAGATTATCAGTGGTCTTGTATGTCTTCCATTTTCTGATAATTGCCCCCACAGTTGATTTGTTCACACAAAGCTGCTTGCCTATTGTAGATTCACTCTTCCCAGTCTGGTGCAGGTCTACAATTATTTTCCTGGTGTCCTTCGACAGCTCTTTGGTCTTGGCCATAGTGGAGTTTGGAGTCTGACTGTTTGAGGCTGTGGACAGGTGTCTTTTATACAGATAACGCGTTCAAACAGGTGCCATTAATACAGGTAACAAGTGGAGGACAGAAGAGCTTCTTAAAGAAGAAGTTACAGGTCTGTGAGAGCCACAGATCTTCCTTGTTTGAAGAGACCAAATACTTAGTTTCCACCATAATTTACAAATAAATTCTTTAAAAAATGTTTTTCACATTCTATCTCTCACAGTTGAAATGTACCTATGATGAAAATTACAGACCTCAGCCATTATTCTAAGTGGGAGAACTTTCACAATCGGTGGCTGACTAAATACTTTTTTGCCCCACTGTGTATATATTATTTACACATTCAACAAAAGCAGGGGTGTCAAAATGGTCCTCAAACGGCTGTTGTGGCTGCAGCCGGTTTGACACCCCTGAACTAAAGTACACTACAGAAATGGTTCTAACTGAAACTAAAAAGGACAGCTTCAGTAAACAATCATATCAAAATAGTATTTTGTTGCATAGAAATTAGGGCTAGGAGTTAAAATATTAACAAAATAATACCCTAATACTATAATAATACCATAGACATGTTTCCTCAGTAAATCAAAACAAGAAAAAATAAATAAAAAAAAGATAAGGACCAAACAAAACAAAATCCACATCTCCATGTGGGGGCAACTTAGATAGTCCAATAAAGTCTGATACATTATTTCTATTTTTATTAACATTATTAGTGGTATCATGTCAGTGAGAATCTGAAATTAATTGTGGACAGTATCATTCGTTACATTTGGTTAAAAATGTGTTCTTTGTCTAATTTAGGTCCACAGCAATGGAACACATGTTTTCTGCACCTAAGTGGGTTTGAATGTACTGTAAGTAAAATGTGTGGGAAGATCTTCTCTTAAAGATGGAACGAGTTGAAGGCATCCAAAAGACAAGAGGATAAGTGATTGATGGAAAAGTGGGATGTCCTGTCTGTCTCCCACTGAGACCCTGTAGACTCGGTAGCTGCTGCTGCTGGCTGCCAAAATATAACCTCATCTGGGCCTGGACACACCTGGCCCTTCACACCAGAGCAGAGATGGTTTCTCCAGCTGTCTGAGCGTGTATTACATGTTTGGAGGGACAGCAGGGGTCTATGTCATTCAATAACATGGAGGGTATGGGAGTTCTCATGACTCATATGGAATCATAAAGGCACACAGCTCCTTTCACAGACCCTTCTTTCTCTTTGGTTGCAGGTGATTTTAAGCAAGATCTTACTTTTATTGTCGGACTGTTCAAATGTCCACCCTGGGAACACATCTTGTGTCCGACATCAGAGCTTTATGTGGTAGCATGTTACCTTTTTATTTTTTATGGTGTTAAGGATATACAGTGCCTCTCAAAAGCACTAATATACCTTGAACCTTTGCCATGTTTATAACCATAATCTTATTTTCATGTTGTTATTATTATACAAAAAAATAGATAACTGAAAATTTGGGTATGCACTAGTAACCATACATGTTTCTTCCCTTTAATGTCCTGTATTTTTCTCCATCCACCTTCCCATCAACTCTTAACTGCCCCTGCTGAAGAAAAGCAGCCTCATAACAGTAACAGTTAGACCAGAGCACCTTCTTCCGTATGTTGAATGTGTCCCCCACTTTGCTTATTGTGGCTTTACTTCAAACACTGACAGTGTCAACAAGTCCATAGTAAACAATCTGGTATACTAGTCCATAAAGAAACAGATTTGGGCACTACTCCTACACCAAAAATTGTAGGATTTGGGTTTCTGAGAAAGACTTGAAAAGAAAAGAAGAGTTTATCTGTGTAAGAGCATAGAATTTTGATAAAATATTGGCAAACCCTTATCATTCATTGCTTTGTGTAGAAAAGACGCTCTACAAATAAAAGTTGATTGATTGATTATTAATGCACATAATTTTCTGGTATAATAATGCATTCATGCATATTAATGGATGTGAATAATTAGATATAGATACTTAATTGATCAATCGCAGAAGTACACCCATAATTACGAATAATTACAGAATGGTCTTTAAAGAGATGGTATTTGTGTACAAGTTTATTTTGGGGACATAGTGGATACTGATCCAGGAAGTGAGTATAGGATGACATCCATACATGGACAATGCTAACTCCCTGGCAGTCGAGAGGTTAGGGAAGTAGTCATTTACAAAGTACTGCACGCTCTGGTTCCTATTGACTTACATTGAGAAGTAAACTCCAATAGCTCAGTAACCTCTTGTGTCACACTGACCATTTTGGGCCTAACAAATCTATGGTTTAGCGCTCTCTATGATCCTGGTGTTTTTATTTCGATATTGTCTTATTTGAGCCATTAAGTTTGACATATCAGACCGGGGAAACTGCAGTTGCCTTGGCAACCATGTAAGCACCATGTTAGTTTGCATATACTGTACCTCTGTTACGGCACAAAACTAACAAATGCCCATAAAAGGAAGTTGGCTCCAACTAACTTATCTTCAAATTGACTTCTTGTAAGTGTTTGTGTCTACAAGTGGTTATGGATGAGAGTAATTCGATGGAGATGCATAAATATATTTTTGCAAAACTGTCACCAATAAAACATCTCATCCAATTTTGTCTTACCTTCAGGATGTCCCCCAAGTCTGCGGTGCTGATCTCTGGGTCTTCAGTGGTGTTGAATGGGACGGGGGTAATCCGCACAAAGGTTAGGACACGGGGCTCGGGGTACCTCCACATCATTACTCCAGGACAGTCTTCAGTTTCACTATAAAACACAACCTCATGGGGTCCAGGCTGCCGCTGAAAGGCTGCAATGAGTGAGGGGAAAGTCACTATTAGAAGCAATGGCATTTTTATGTCCAGGCATAAAAACATTGGTCGGGGAAAAGCTATAACAGAATAAAAGCAATAGAAAAAAAATATCACAATTGAAGTTCAAGAAATGATTTTTTATTGCCCACTGGTTTTCTGTGAAATAGCAATGGCCTAAATTTCAAGAAAAGCTGTTGAATAGATTAACTATTTTGAGCCAATAGTTATTTTTTTCTTTACTTAGAAGATAACTTTTTTATACATATGAAAAACGATCTAATAATAAATGTAGTGTTTTTTGATTGGTAGTATAAGTTGCACATTAAAAGTCTAGAGTGGCGTGCTATTAATGATTATTTATACTGTGTATGAGTTGTGTGCAGAGGAAGAATGCTGTAAGTTTCCATGCTTCAGTCTGTTTATAAATGTGCATAAACAGAACGCCTGAGTAAACATTTTCAATATTAGATAAACAGTCATTGATTGAACCAGGGCGACAGTAGCTCAGCTGGTAGAGCATTGGCCTTTGGGCCTGAAGGTCGTGGGTTCGAGCCCACCGTAAGACCTACTTCACGACTCCCACTGATGACTGCAGTCGTTGTGTCCTTGGGCAAGACACTTAACCCTACTTTGCCCAAAGCCCCAGCTGAAAAGATCTCAGCTCCTGTGGACTCACCACCTGCAGGAGGATCAGTGTGGGGCTGGTGCTCTGTGTACTGGGTGCAGCTCTGACTGCCGCCCCCCTGACCCAGAAATGGATTAAGGGGAAGAAAATGGATGGATGGATGGATGATTGAACCATGCCAAGCACCTGCAAAAAGTGGATCTCACTGGACCAAACTTCGGAGTGGTGTTTGACTTAAGTCGTGGCTGCTGTTTGGGATTCAAGTCCCTTGGAAAAATGTTTATTTGAAAAAAAACAGTGAGGCAGGGAACTGCTTGTTTGGTCCCTAGGGTACCTGGGAGCGTTCACATGAACTTCAAGACTGAAAACACATTTAAAATCTTGTGAAATGTGAAATTCTTTTGCAAAACAATTATATTCAAATCTGAGTGGATTGATCTTTTACACACCTGTTCTTGCGTCCTTTTTTATTATTTTCTCTAGGACAGGACAACTATTGTGTACTGCTGCCAACATGTTGCAGGCAGATTGTTCCATAGTCCTTGTTCACTACTGTTTGCTCTCCTGCGTTGGCCAACATATTTAATGCATCAAAGAGCGGGAGAACAGTGCAACAAACAAATGGTGAAGTGCAGCTGACAGAGTGGACGGCTGGTGTGCCGCCAGAGCAGTTTGATCTCTGTGTTTGTGTGCCCAAAGACACACTCGCAGCACTGAGGGAATAAACAGTGTTCCCTGAGTGGAGCCAGGCCGGCCGCTCTGATGAAACCCGCTGCACTAAGACTTTGATCCACTCTGATTTAAGGGGATGTGTATCTTACAGTGACATCTCACTTGGCACCACTTCCCTTTTCAAGGTACTTTAAACATGCTCATATAATTTTATGAATGGTTGACTATTTCTGTTCATCTAAGAGATTTACAGAGCTCTACTGCTCCATCTGCTAAACAACCATATCATGGAATAAGTAGGAACACAGTTGTGGTAAATGAGCCAAGGCATGAACTCTTCTTTCAAAGAATAAATCTTGACGGCAAAGAATACCAGGCTGTAAGTGAACAATTATGTTTAGTTTGTCTATACTGCTGAACATTTACAGTGCTCCTGTGAGGAAATGAATGCTCACTGCTTTACTGTTTGTCTGGTATGAGCAATCACCTGAGTCCTGGATGTACTGGAAGTGTCCGGTGCGCAGATCGTCAGAGCTGTGTTCAGTGCGAGGAGAGGGGGATCCAGGGGAGGCTGGGGGCTGAGTGTGACAGGCATTCCCCAAACAAGGCTCTGTGGTCCCCTCTTTGTCTAGCTGAAGGTAGGACCGCAGGTGCTCCTCCAGCAGCTTCAGGCAAGTCAGATGCTCCTGGCCCCAAAATATCTGGCAAACCAGACAGGAAAAAAAAAACAATGCTGAAGTGTTACAGACGTAGCTATACTTGTATGTATTATATATGCTTTTGTCAATAAATTACTGGATTTATGTTTATAGCATTAGAAAAGTGAATCACCTCAGAACGCATTTTACAGATGTTCTCATTTGAAATTGAGGAGAAAACGGTACTGCTCTTGAAATAACAATAATATTATTACTATATTGTACTTGGACACTCAAAGATGCTTTACAGAAGCGCAAATACAAAAAAAAAAATACATGGATAAATCAATAAGAAAAACTATAGTCAAATCAAGATATATTTTTTTCAATTGTTTTGTGTATATTCGCATAGTAGACCCAGTGTGTGAAAATGGATCAATTAAAAAAAAACATCTGACAGTTTGTTTTACAGCAAACAGGAAAAGCAGTAGTCAGCGTTAACCCAACCATCACCCTACGCATTACCCAACACAACCTTACATCCTGCACTTACCCGCGGCATTCCCCTTCCTTTGCCATCAAAGCAGCCCTGTCTGGGGTTTGGACCAAAAACCAGGAATCTCTGAGTCAAAAACGCTTCACACATCATGGAGCTGCCTGCCGTTAGTGCTCAGTAGTTTTCAAGGCTGGCTTATGACTAAACGCTCAAAACAGGAACATTTGGGGATTTTTTTAATAGGCGATTGAAAAGTGAGCACGAGAGGAAGGAGTCTGAAGGAATCCTAGTGGTTTTTATACACCACTTGATTAAAACACCGCAATTGCCAATATTTTCAGAAATGCATGACTGTGTATTAGGCGCTGATTTGCGAGTTGATGTTTTATTAAATGGGCATGTATCAAACGGCAGTTGCAGTAAGGGAGAGTGAGGGGGCTTCCCCAAAGAGAGGTAATGTGGAAGAACACATTAGTAATAATATCTTCACTTAGTCACAATAAAAAGGGGGATTTTGGTCACATTATGTAACTCATGAGGAAAATTTCACACAAGATAAAAGCACCTAAAATAGCTTATTTTTATTCCATACATATAGAAGATGAGATGTGATGGAGTGAAATAACAACATCAAGGTTTTAGTGTCAGAACTGTAATTGCAGGGATCCAGTGCCAGGATGCAATTGGAAGAAAAAAACATTTTTAAGAAGTGTGTATGTGTGCCAGCATACAAATGTTGATATACATATATACAGTATATATAGTGAAGTTTAGCTGAGGAAACAATGGCTCCTCATGTAATGCTGTTCTCATAGAAGACAGCGTGGAAGATTCATGCTCACGTCTTTGCTTCATACATCCTTGAACACAACCAGGTGCAGAGGTGATGATCTGACCCAATGCCTGCTCTCCATCATAAATCTTAAAGGCTGTTCAAACCTGCAGCAGGCCTCCCCTCAGGTCCAGCAGCAGTTTGGGAACTCCAGGCTCGTGTCCAGGGCTGCCGCTGTGACGACACCACCGCGCCTCCAAGGACGTCCGGCAGGAGAAGGGTCCCAGCAGCACATGGACACGCTCCCGAAGGCCTGTCTTCACCAGCAAGTCCTGCACCTCCAAAAGCACAGACGCAGCCTGGACTTGGTCTGTGTGACAGGGAAAGAGCATAGTTTAGGCACTCGACCTAAATACATTTAATTCAAATTTGAATGGCAAATCTAAAACAAGATACCAAAAACAGTAACAAGAAGGAAGTTGGATTTAAACATAAGACTGAAGACATATTCATGTTGAACACTAACTGAACAATTTCAAACAAAATCATATCGTTAAGTATTGGATGACAACATATATTTTATCATATACAAACTGTGTTTTGATCTTTTACTCTATTGTTTGTAATACGAGTTTCAAAAAAGGAAGCCCAGCACACTTGGATACAGTAACTGAAAAATACCAGACAAGACATTTACTTTGATTAAATCTTTTGACCCACTATGATCAAACAACACAAAAAGCTCAAATTGAGCATTGATGAAAAAAGTAATCCCCTGAACGTGTTTTTTATATTTGGAAAAGTGCAATCTGGTTCCTGACAAACAGCCCAAAGAAGTTTAAGCCACAGTTTACAAGAGTGTGACAGATCTGCATTCACTGCATTTTGGAGACAAACCACTTGAACCTATTGACCTGTTCAAGAAGCAGTTCAAATATAAAAGAGTGGGATAGGACTAAAGCAAGACATTAAATCATTATTATTAGGATTTATTAGGAACACATAGCGGCCCATAGACGTTAAAAAGACAGAAACGGACAAAAACAAATACATTAGACTCGGCAGAGAAAAGCTGCTCCGAACTCAGGGCCGGATCAACCAGGGCCACGGCGACACTGCTCCCCGAGTTCTTGAGCCGTACATGAGTCTGCACAGCACCGCAGAACAGGCGGGAACGCCCACATCCACAAATAAGTTTGTGCTCCTCCGCCGAGCGACCCTAAGCAGCATCCTCATGCCATCGTTATAGGCCACATTCAGTCTGTGCATGCTGCTCTTTTTGCAGTGTGTCCACATGAAGGCAGTGTACATGGGAGTACAGTATGCTTTAAAAGCTCGGTCTTTACTACTGCTGGTGAACATACTTTTAAACCTGCATATTGGCCTGTTCATAAATTATGAATTTACCTGCAGCAGGTAATTAATGAAAAAAAAAAAAGTCCTATTAAATGTCCTATTCAAATATTTGATAATCAAAGAACACATGCATCAATTATCACTTCAAATGTTCAGTTAATTTAGAGAAAAATCGAGATGAAGCCTCTGAAGTTGAACATTACACAATAATCAGTTGGCTTGTTTCTCGTCAATGGGTAAACCCTGAAAACATTTCCGACTGGGAATAACAGACATTGAAACTGTCCAAAAAAACTCCATTCACTAATTTTAAGCACCAAATAGTAGCAAAATGTAGTCAAAACGGATAGCACTTTGTGGTCCTCTAGACTGAGATGTGTGGTCCCAGGCGTCCTGAGTAAGGACATGTCGGCTCATAAATCAGATCTGGAAATACTGTCTGCTGTATGTTGACACAGTAATGACGGATGGTTGCTTCAGCAGACAGGAGCAGAAGCTTGTTTAGAAACTTCAAGGTTGAATGACCAACATTATTTTTAATGACTCAAAAATGTGCTTCCAAAAGTAACATTGGACACACCGAGTGGTACTAAAACATATAATTTAAAAATAATAATGATTCTGACACACAAAATAAAGAAATTGACCCAAACACATTCAAGAGTCATTTAAACTGGAGCTAATGTGAACAGGCGCCTCTTTAGCAATTGGTCCTCATTGTTGTGAGGACAAAATGTGAACAGAATCAATCTTGAGGAATGATGCGCTTTTCTGACAAAAAAGTGTTGTTCAGTTTTGGTAAAACATGACGGATCAGCCAAACCAGTTTCTCACTTTTATGATGCATTCCAATTAATTTAATTAACTGTTGCAATTACTGATAATGTGTAATGTATATAAATACATTATAAACATACAGTCTACTATTGATATGAGTAAGACAATGTTTGCTTGACAAAAAATACAGCATAAAGTCGCAACATGAACTTTAGAAGAAAGTTTGCGATGTGGTTCATTTGAGGTGAAGCTGTTGAAGACAGGGCTCAGGGACAAATGGAAAGACATAAGCCCAAAGTGTGGGGAGGACATGATGAATGAGGAGTTCTATTGATATGGACATAGTGGGACGAGAGTGAGGGATGCAAATATGACAGTCACTGACATCATCTGAAATGTTAATAAACTAACGCAGGATATTGTTATGGTGCTATAGAGCCCAATAACACAACAGGGGCGAGCCAGAGAAGTGTACCTCTTGTTTTTTAGGTAACATTACACCAAGATGACTCATATCTCATAGGGAAAAGACTATTGATACAAATTGGCACTTTGCTAATGTCTTTGGACGGAACGTGGATAACCCACTGTGCTATGCATGGGGTTTATTTTCATGGTCACGATTTATTAGACAGCTCTTGGGAACTCCCCACCTGGCTGAGTAAACGGAGGATCTTTCATTCACACAAACACATTATGAGAGAGACATGGATCTACGGTATATCACGCACACAGGGCAAGTGGAAACAACTACAAGCCCCTTCGCACAAATGGTGTTAGTCTCCTATCCAGACGTCATTCACAGGCCTGCAGATGACCGCAGCGTGTCCGTGTGAGAGCCAGCAGCAGCAGAAGCCAGCACACTCAGCTCAATAATCACTATGATTTGGAGCAGAGGGGAATCCCTCTGTTTCTTCAGCCCCTCTTTCATCTGTTATGAGTAATCGTCATGGGACTAAGTCTCATCTCTGCCTTTGGACTGATGCTTCATTAATATTACCAGTCATAAACTGGGATTGTGTTTTTGTTAAGATTATCCAAGTGACAAGCAAAATACAGAGTTTAAGTCACTCCTTTCCCCGTCATTGTTATTGTCCTTTTTGTTTTTTTCAAATGTTTCGGTTCAATGTGTAAATTAGATTTAAAATAATGTATAACGTGCCACTGTTGATGAAATGAAAATATGCAAGAATTCACATTTTGCACTGGTCAATCTTGGCGCCTGAAGTTTTTTCAGATTTTAAAATCTGAAACAGACTAAATGAGGACTACTGAAATGAATAACGGTAATACATGAAAAGATGTAAGAAAAATTTAGGTGAACAATTGATTTCAGCAATTTCAGTCTATTAAGTCAAATGGTGTTAAAACTCAAGAATGTACAGTATAATCAGGCTGATGATCATATATGCTAGATGGATCCACAAAGTTGGAAATATAATGGAACACAGAAGCAATGAAATTCGTGACAGCCATTCAGACCAGTCAAGGCTAGACATGCAAATCCATCCATCCATCCATCCATTTGCTACCCTTTAATCCATTTCTGGGTCAGGGGGGTGGCAATCAGAGATGCCACCCAAGTCTCATAGCACCAGCCCCTCACTGACCCTCTGCAGGTGGTGAGTCCACAGGAGGACGGCTGCTCTCTGAGTGTGAGCATAGCCTTGATCTTTGAGCGGGGGCTTTGGGCAAAGTGGGGTTAAGTGTCTTGCCCAAGGACACAACGACAGCAGTCATCAGTGGGAGTCGGTGGAGAAGGTGTAGAGGTGGGAATTGAACCCACGACCTTAGGCCTTAAGGCCAATGCTCTACCAACTGAGCTACTGCCGCCCCTACTGCTGCAAATCCATATTTAGCTTAATTGCTACCATCTCCCACAGTGGTAAAGTTGCAGCCTGTAAAACACATTTGTACTTTAGTGAATGCAACATCAGTTTACGTTAAGTTAATGTATCCTTGCAAACACAAACACCTGTTGAGCTCTGAGTAATATAGACTATGAAGACGCGGCAGGCGCTTCCTAACACCAAGGAACAAAGTGGGTGGTGGGTGGAAAAGCTCCTGCAGTGAAATACATCCCTGGCAGGCGATATGGTGACATTAGATAGGAAGGGAGATGTTGATTTATTGTTGGTTTCTCCCTGGCAGTCATTATCTGACCACTGCCTGGCTGATTTATACATCAGGACGACCTGGTATCAATTAGACAAAACCTAAAGGAGTCATTACCTAACTAAGGGAGGCCCCCAATAACTGACTAGGATGGTAAGCAGTAATAGAAGTAATATACTGCCACTCACCACAAAAATACACCACAAGACCACTATGGGACACAAGAGAGATTTAGGTTAAGGCGGACATTGGCGGCCAAATGGTTGAAGTGTTGATGAGTTACATATGAACCCATTTTAAAGTTGTGCGATGTCACCAAATGACTATGCAAGTGTTAAAAGCCCTTTGAATTGGAGTATTTTTAAAAGCATAAAAGATTGCAAATATTCAGGTTGGGACATCAAGTGTGGTTAAAACATACTGCTAATATTAATAATCTGTGAGCTATTACTTCTGGGAGACCTGTAATATTTTCTGTCAGAAAAGCATAAAAGCTTTAACAACGGCGTGAAGTCCAACTATTATGAGCTCACATATTCCCACAAAACTCAGAGCTTCTTCAGATGCAAGCCCAAATAAAATTGTCAGGAAGATTAGCACAGTCATTTGTTTCAGAGTAAGATTTTGATTATCATTTTATGTATTCAATTCATTAATTCATTATTTGTATTAAAAGCAAAACACACAGATACAATATTTTGTGAGTTATAATAAAAAAGTTCAAAAGTGAGTGAGAACTAAGATGCATCCACAATGTGTCAAGAATCAAAGTGTTGAGATTGCAATCTTTCAATACTTTTGTCACAGTCAAACAAGATATGCAATCTGTTAGACAAATAAATTACAAACAAAAAAATTACAAAACAATTGAAATGTCAACACAAATTCTGAAAAATTCTAACATTGCCTATATTTCAGCCAGAAATTGAAATTATTTTGGCATCAATCTCAGAGATTTTGATTTGCATCCTCAACATCTCCCTCAAAATAAAATCATGCAACTTTGCTAAGATGGAATGCATTTTACAAAAACTTACTGTTATATTTCTAACTAATGGAGTATAGTTGGAAATATTTTTTTTAAAATGCACGAGCAGTTAAATAATGTATTCAGGTGTTGTAAGTATAACTGTAGGCAGTTATTTTCCCCTGGACCCCTCACTGACATGCAACATTGATGCTAATAATGACATGAATAAAATTGTATAGTAGTTTTATCCATCCATCCATTTTCTACCCTTTAATCTATTTCTGGGTCAGGGGGGTGGCAGTCAGAGATGCCACCCAAGTCTCATAGCACCAGCCCCTCACTGACCCTCTGCAGGTGGTGAGTCCACAGGAGGACGGCTGCTCTCTGCGTGTGAGCATAGCCTTGATCTTTCAGTGGGGGCTTTGGGCAAAGTGGGGTTAAGTGTCTTGCCCAAGGACACAACGACACCAGTCATCAGTGGGAGTCGGTGGAGAAGGTGTAGAGGTGGGAATTGAACTGAAGGCCAATGCTCTACCAACTGAGCTACTGTCGCCCCGATATATAGTGGTTTTAATTGTCTAAAAATGTTGGCTTGTTTTCTACCTCTGATTATTGAGATGATAAATGGAAAAGTGAATTCATTCTAATAGCAAGTAAACAAACTGGCTTTTTAAAACGTGGCCCAAGGAACAAAGCACATGAAGACAAAATACAACAAATAAACAGTGGCCTTACACGCAGATGTTTTCATTTACATCTGAGGAGTTGTTGGATGCATGTTAGAAAAAAAATGTGTGCAGTAGTATTTGTGTGTGTTTGTATGGGTTGGGGGCACTCCATGGGCAGTCTGGAGAGAGTTGAGAGATTAGGGAGGGTCTTGTTTCATGGACCTTAAGACATCTGTTCTCTCTCTCCCCAGCGTTGAACTATAAATGCTCCCCTGTACCTCGGTGGACGTGGGGAGGAATGTGGCCCGTCCACTTGCTTTTCATTAGCACTGGATCTGGTAACACACCTCACTGTCAACCTAATCCCCCCTCTCTCCATCTTGTCCTGTGGCAGAGGGGGGCAGCCTGTGACCAGGTACCGGGGCCCAGATGTTCCCCGTGTAGGGCGGGGAGCAGAGGGTGACGGGAGCTGCATGCTTACTGATGAAGCCGGGTGTGGTGGTGTTCTGTAATGACACACTATGACTCTGGTTTTACTCTTGTCTGGACCGTCTGCTTTCTTTTCATCATGTTCATTTTTTCTCCTCAACGTCTTTCTTCTTTCATTAGCGTTTGCTTCCCTTGACGTGCAGCTCACGTTTCCCAGCATCATCCCGGGATCTCCTCTGTGCTCCATCAATCTCCAGAGGACCGGTAGTCTAACATACTGTAGCAGTAGTCCATCCCTTGGTCCTCCATCTCTCATGCGCACGTCTCCCACTGGGGTCATTTGCTCTGACGTGCTGCAGCAGCTCAAAGGCTCAACCTTACACAATGGGGATCCTCACCTCTATCTCTGTCAGATTCCTGCGTATTCTTTTCCAAGTCTGAAGCAGCAGATGAAGCTGTGGTGGTGAGTGATGGAGGCTGTGCGGCTCCGGCTAAGGGCAGCATATATGTCTATTGTCACCGGCCATTCGTCTCTGTAATGGGAGACACTTCGTCTAGCCCCGATGGCAACAAATCTGGAAACACTAGGTGGAGATGCCCTGAGGAAAAGCACTGCCTGTTGGGACATAGTTATATGCAGTACAGTACTAAGGGTGCCAAAAGTATTTAAGGTGCATTATACAAAAAAAAGTGCATTATGCCAACACACAGGGGCCTAGTAAAGTGATCATAAACAGAGGTATAAAAGGGAGCACAGAAGAGTTGCAATACATTTACTAAAACAAAATATTGTTGTCAAGACAAGAAGCAAGGATGATGCTTTGTAGAGTTGGCTACTCAATTTGTCTTTCTGCCAAACTGTCAATAATGGCAAAGACACATACAGTGGGGCAAAATATTTAGTCAGCCACCGATTGTGCAAGTTCTCCCACTTAAAATCTGTAATTTTCATCATAGGTACACTTCAACTGTGAGAGACAGAATGTGAAAAAAAATCCAAGAATTCACATTGTAGAATTTTTTAATAGTTTATTTGTAAATTATGGTGGAAAATAAGTATTTGGTCACTCACAAAAATTCAACTCAATATTTTGTAATATAACCTTTGTTGGCAATAACAGAGGTCAAACGATTACTATAGGTCTTCACCAGGTTTGCACACACAGTAGCTGGTATTTTGGCCCATTCCTCCATGCAGATCTTCTCGAGAGCAGTGATGTTTTGGGGCTGTCGCCGAGCAACATGGACTTTCAACTCCCTCCACAGATTTTCAATGGGGTTGAGGTCTGGAGACTGGCTGGGCCACTACAGGACTTTCAAATGCTTCTTACGGAGCCACTTCTTCGTTGCCCGGGCGGTGTGTTTGGGATCATTGTCATGCTGGAAGACCCAGCCACGTTTCATCTTCAAAGCTCTCACTGATGGAAGGAGGTTTTGGCTCAAAATCTCACGATACATGGCCCCATTCATTCTTTCCTTAACACGGATCAGTCGTCCTGTCCCCTTAGCAGAAAAACGGCCCCAAAGCATGACGTTTCCACCCCCATGCTTCACAGTAGGTATGGTGTTCTTGGGATGCAACTCAGTATTCTTCTTCCTCCAAACACGACGAGTTGAGTTTATACCAAAAAGTTCTACTTTGGTTTCATCTGACCACATGACATTCTCCCAATCCTCTGCTGTATCATCCATGTGCTCTCTGTCAAACTTCAGACGGGCCTGGACATGCACTGGCTTCAGCAGGGGGACACGTCTGGCACTGCAGGATTTGATTCCCTGTCGTCGTAGTGTGTTACTGATGGTAACCCTTGTTACTTTGGTCCCAGCTCTTTGCAGGTCATTCACCACCCCGTGTGGTTCTGGGATGTTTGATCACCGTTCTCATGATCATTTTGGACCCCACGGGATGAGATCTTCTGTGGAGCCCCAGATCGAGGGAGATTATCAGTGGTCTTGTACGTCTTCCATTTTCTGATAATTGCTCCCACAGTTGATTTGTTCACACCAAGCTGCTTGCCTATTGTAGATTCCCAGTCTGGTGCAGGTCTACAATTCTTTTCCTGGTGTCCTTCGACAGCTATTTGGTCTTGGCCATAGTGGAGTTTGGAGTCACTGTTTGAGGCTGTGGACAGGTGTCTTTTATACAGATAACGAGTTCACACAGGTGCCATTAATACAAGTAACGAGTGCAGGACAGAAGAGCTTCTTAAAGAAGAAGTTACAGGTCTGTGAGAGCCAGAGATCTTCCTTGTTTGAAGTGACCAAATACTTATTTTCCACCATCATTTAGAAATAAATTCTTAAAAAATCCTACAATTTGAATTCCTGGATTTTTTTTCACATTCTGTCTCTCACAGTTGAAGTGTACCTTAATTACAGACCTCTGTCATTATTTTAAGTGGGAGAACTTGCACAATCGGTGGCTGACTAAATACTTTTTTGCCCCACTGTACATTATGAGAGAGACCCACTATAGAAATATAGAAATAAATATGCCTTTTACAAGACTGTATATTTAAACAATAAAAGATCAACTCAACAAAAAGGAGATTAATGATAATAAAAAGCAGAACCCCTCAAAGGTAAAAAGGAAGGGAGCAGATTAGCTTACGCATTTGAACAATTGTCTCTAAACTATATTTCTTTTTTCTTCATTGTCCATATGTATTTCAAGTCTGTTTATCAACGTCAACACATAAAAGATGGATGAAAGCTGAAAAGCTGGTGGAAATCAGTACAAGGCAGCAGCAGCGTACAGCATTGTGTCATGGTGCAGTTATGTAGATTTGAGTAAACAAAGAGCAAATTGTTTGAGGTTTTAATTAACATTTTCGACAATCATTTTATCTGGAGTAACCCTATATAACAACATCTGTAGAGCAGATGCATGCACTTAGAGCCCACTTCCATCTCTGTCGTCTCACTAAAGGCCTTTGCACTCAGGACATGTTGCTCCTCAGCGTCTATGTGTTTCATGTTCTGCACGCTACACCTCAGCCCTCTGTTTCCATCCACTGTCTCGTTCAGAAGACGTGCCAGAGAAAAACAAAAACTGACAAAAACAAACCAAAGATCCTAGATCATCTCTCACAGCAGTCGGCTCACACCCAGCGGCAGTCTGAGGCTGGAAGCTTTTGAATTTACATTAGCATTAGCAGCTCTGATTGTCATAATGAAAACACAATGATGCCTCCTGAATAATGGGGATTGTTGATGAAGCTTGTGCCAAACGTGAAAGCAAACATCTCGCATGACAACGCATAAGAGTCTTTTCTGACCAGAGCAGATCTAGAATATATATGAAAACATGCAGTGGACATAACTGCTCCAACACTAACACTTAAGGTTTACTGACACAGCGTGATTTTGGAGGACAAATCATGCGGTTTTCTTCAGCGCATGCAAAGCTCATTCAAGATGATAACTGATCTTTCTATCACAGTATAGTGGTCAACGTAGGAGAGAAAATTACAATTTGTCTAGTGCGTGCAAATTATCTGGTTTAGGGGTTTGCGTAATATTTACACATTGCTTCTACCTTAAATAATATACTATTGACATTTTAGAGACCAGCAACCAAATAATGGGAACAATAAATGACTTATTAAATCCATCTGCAACAGGACTGGGCAGGGTACTAAATAGATGACAAAAATGTGCTGGACTATTTGTTTTTTTGCCGTCTATTGGAATGAACATAAATTTGACCAAAGAGAGTGAAATCATTAGAACAATGCTCATTATACTTGCACCTGCAGGTCTTAAAACAAGTGATTTTTTTTCAGCCAAGTGAGATAAGGGGGATTTGAGTTGGTTTTATGTGCTGTAATTAACACTTAAAAGACAGTGAGTCATATACTGCAAGTGTCTTTTTCAGCTCAATGTGATAAAAGAGAAACCTCTTGGCTTGAAGATTGGCATACTAAAAACACCATATTGTGTGAGGCTGTGACTGCTATAAAAGGACGGCCAAAGTGAAAAAAATGCACACACACACGCCCACACGGTCACCCCCACACACACTAAAATATTCCACTGTGTAATGATTATATATAGCATCAGTTTAACTTTTACTTTAACTGCCATCAAACAGTAATTTCCCCATTGTGGGACAAATAAAGATATCATTCCTTCATTCAAAAGGTTGGAACTTTTTTCACAATATTCAAATGTTTTGAGCGTATCTGTACATACCTTCCAGCCTTGGTCCAGATTTGATGTTGAGGCTTCCCTTCATTGCAGCCACAGAGAAGGTCGCACTGGGCTTCTTTGGTTGGGTCTCTGCCTCCATCACTACAACAATTTGAGCAGTGTGGACGGAAACCTTGTGAAACGTTACTCCCAGAGCCCCAAAGGTGCCCACTGATGCCTGACGACGTGTGTCTGTTTGGGGGGTACTGGTTCGTGTCTTGGAGGGTGAAGAGTATGGACTGGAGGAGTTGGGTGATGCTTTAGCAGTGTCCACAGGGGGACTGGGACTGGGGTAGACCTTCCTCAGGTAAGACTTGGCCTGCTCCAACTTTGCCAGTGTGGGGCTGATCTTCAGAGGACGAGAAATCTCAATGTTGAGTTCAGCTGTGGAAAAGAAAGCATGGTTGGACTCACATTTTTTTACTGATTGAAATTACTGACATTGTAGAACATACACCCAAATAATAACTTGTTTCAATATTGTGGCATTGAGTCAAAAGAAAATAGAAAAAAAATTCTTTTCACATTTTCACTTTAGGTAAAAAGTTATGTTAACAAATAAAATCAAACCAAGCTTTAGAGAACAGTCGGTATTCATTCTGTAATGCAAAATGACTCCATGGCTACACTGACAAATGGAACTCTTTTCTTTCCTATATTCCAAGTATATATTCCTGAAAACAACATAGAACAAAGAGATAGGAAGCAAATATTGGAATACAGGTAGTAAAACATTTATTTTTAGCAACCCTTATGGCAAGGCAGGTCACTGTAATAACAAATATTACTTTTTATGACTGGACATTTTAGCTAAATCCTTTTCATCCTGTGCAACACTAAATCCATTTAAAATATGTTAGACCCAGGACACAAATATAATAAATTTACTGCTGGCTCAAACCATTGCTTCGTCTCATTTGGAAAGTCACAGTAAACTGGAAAAATGCCATTTCAAGTTTCTAAGGAAAGAAAGTTTTCATCAGGCCTTGTTTGACAAAGATTAGTTACAGTCTAGCCCTTGGGATGGTGTGCAGTGTGTCCACTAAATCAAAGTTAGGTTGCTCATGCTACAACCTGTTGAGGGACAGCTGGGTCCACTCTCAATGGTGATTTCTCCTTTCTCTAAATACAGACATATGCACAAATAGCAGTCAATCTTGCAGTATCATCCACAAGTACAGTATAGCTCATATACCTCCTGCCAGCTGCTTTCTCTCTGCTGCTTTACCTCTGCACTTCAGCCTTCAAACACTAGACTGGAATTTACAGAGACACATGAATTAACTCTATGCCGTTTTACACCACTTCCATTATCCCATTTTTCCACTTGGTCATGATGATCGGAGAGAGGAGTGCAGCTGGTTTTCATGGTCTCATCAAGGCAGCCGTGTTTAGGGGCATTTTAAAGTCCTTTTAGGCTTCTCGTCTGTCTCCCGTCTCAGGTAGGAGGACTGGATGACAGAGTTGGGACCACTGCCAAGACGTAAAATAAAAATAATCCTGTGCCCTCAGGATGGGCTCTTGTTTAATCCAGTGGAAGTGAGACACATGGTCAGAAAAATGCTGGGCTAAGAATTGGAGAACAGAGAAAAGGAATTCACAGTGCAATGTAGCTTATCATTTCCACTTGACTTATCACCAGGAAACTTTCCAGCAGTGAAATAAATAGTCTATGTGCAGCTGCTCATCCAGGTTGCTGTTAGTCTCCAAAATGTGAGTTATTCCTTGAAAACCTTTTCTAACGCCATCGAGCTATTTTAGTAGATTTAGGCCCCGTTTTGACAAAGACGCTGCGGAGACGCTGCAAAGCAATTAGCAAAAACGACCAGGCTCCTGCACAGCGTTCAGAGAATTCACACCTTTTTATTTTCACTCGGCAGTGAAATGCAGATAAGCTAATCCGTTCTGTTCCACTCTGAAGGCTGTTTCCCAAAGCTTGAGTTTTCACCCCCCTGAAACACCGGCTCCATGTAAACAGGAGGCAAAAACCGATACCAAACTCTACCATTTTACTAACGCAGCATCTCCATCTAAACGGGGCATTGGTGTGCCACCTTTATGGACTAATCTATCACCCAGCCTTAGTGTTTACTGTAATCGTATGCATTAGTTAAGAAAGCAAATATTATTTCAGATAAAAATTGTCCCAGTGCCTAATGATTCTTATCTTAAGGTGATTAGAGTTAAACAAGCCAAGTTCTTGAGTATAAACAAAAAGAAAATGCACACTTATATGAAACTTGGCGTTATGGGTTTCACAATTTACTCTTTTAAATCCATCATTGTGAAACAAGAAGGTAGCCTTTTTTTGTTGAAAGGGTTTGCTAAGAGTTGAATAGAGTCCCTTTGTAAAACAGTTATTTCTGGCGGAATAAAGTTGTTCCATAGGTTCAGCTGTTACTGTGTATTTATTATTGCTACATTGATAAGACAGGGACGTTTTAGTTTTCCCTGAAGTGCGACTGGAGATCAGGGTTACAATCAGTGCACGTCAACAAAGGAGCAACACCACGGTTGTTAGCCACCTGCGGAGAGTAAGGAGATAATCGGCTTGTTTAAATGATTAATGTCGTATAATGTTATTTCAATGCACTGCAGAAAACAACATTGCTGAGGTCGTGTGATAGGTAATTAAAAAGGCTTCCCAGGACAACTCAATAACATTCTTATCTTTTGGTAAGGCTAAGAATGTCTTTTGGGAATGATAAGTCATGACGACACTCTCTCACATTACTTTGCAGTGACCGGGGATAGAGAGAATCTGGATTTTACGTTGTGTGAACTAAAACATGTCTCTGTGGAGAGTGGTGCATCTGTGCGGCTTCCCTCCGGCTTTATCCAGGAACCGGTGGAGCACATCGATGTTTTTACTGCAGAGGAGCGATGTCAAGCCATCAATCTTTCTCAGAAGTCTCATAAAACAAGCGTGCAGCGTTGTATGACTTCATGTCCAGTACATCTCGGACATTTCCTTAAGTTTGGCTGGATCTCTACAATGTGGAAATGTCAGTAAGATGGACATTGTATTAGAGTTCCATTTGGTTTGAATATTGAGGTACCAAAAAAATAGAAATGCTTTCTATTTGAAAGCATATATATTTACAGTTGGCGGCAGACTAAACTGAAAAATGTGTACTTATTATGTTGTTAGTATTTCATGTGAATTGGGTTGCAGTCTATTACTTATAGGAAATGTGTGTCAGAAAGGTCATATCTATAGCTAGAAGTTATTTCATGTACATTGTATCATTCAAGAGAAGCAGGATAGTTTTCCACACTCTTTTTGGGTAAGGAATACATGTGCTATCACTGTTTTCTAGCCGTTTCATGTGTTTTAACAGATCGTAAAATTAATGAAAACACACTAATCATAAAAAGTTTCATTAAAATTTAAATCAAAGTGTTTTTTATTTTTTTTATTTTTTAAAAAAGGCAGATATTTCCGCAATGCCCTCCAACCTCCAATATAAATGTATTTATTAAATCATCAGAACCAAAAGTCAGGTCATCCAAATGAAGCATTTAGTCAATCATGTTTATCCAATAAAGCCCAATTGAAAAAGTGCTACTCAGTAAAACTAACAATTGCTATTTTAAGCATCAGGAGTGAGCTAAAGGGCAGAGCAGGGACTGGTCTCGGGGCATGGGGTGAAGAGGAGGTGTATCTTTTCAGAACAAGGCTAATGTGAACAGGCTGTTGGTGTTCGTGGGACCGCTGCTTCTCAGGTGTCAGCATCTATTAGCACCAGAGCGACCGGGAGATCAAGGTCTGTCACATAAACCCATACACAAAGTGGTGTGGAGATCAAATATGCTTATTATCCAGGTTCTTTTCGTTTTTAAGAAAGGTCATGCATGACGCCGTCCCCACTTTGAACCGGCAAAATGCACCCACAACACACTTGACTTTGTGCTTCGAGACATAGGTGGCATGAAGTTCAATTTTTAAAGGCTATGTATATGAAAGCAACACCTTTTAAAACAAAATCCATGTATGTCTAAAGCAATTTCTGAGGGGCATCTGCAAAATCCCACTGTCAGAAAAAGGCCCTTGTACCAGGAGAGGTTAATGACACCCGCCTCTAATGCCATCTGACTTAAATTACTGTGTATTTGGGCAATTCAGAGGGACACACGCTTGTATACAGTAACTGACACAACGCCATAGTTTGATGTGAACCAGGAGCACAACAAAGAAATGGTTCCAATTTGTTCTGCCTAATCTATCACCTGCAGCTTCTCCAGTGAAGGATACAGGCATCGTCTCATCTCCAAGTGGCAGCAGTTACATCCTGAGCGCTCTCATTGACCTGCTTCAAAACCCTAACCCTAGGACTGAGTCAGAAAGATGAGAGACAGTGCCAGAGGGTAAGCATGTGGCATGTGTTTAAAATGCAGTCAATGAATGGGCCCTAGAAAACAAGACCAACATTCTGCTTTCTGTCAATCTACAATATGCAACAAACTCAGCACAAATCCAGGCCATTTTTATTATTGATTTCTTAAAAAATATTGTTTTACAGGAATAGGGTGCATCTGTGTTCTAGACTTCTACCTCAGTTGAATGGCAGGGAAAGAAGCAAAAAAATTTCCAAATATGTTGAATATCACCACTTCTTTTATAACAATAATTAGACTATAGTTGATACGTACTGCAAAGGACGTACAGTATTTCATGTTGATTGGCTCTTTGTAGGATTCCAGAGAGAATTCACTAAAACTAGAAGTCTGACTTATGACATAGGTTTTTTTTTTTTTAACCGTATTTACCAGGAAAGATTAATCAGCTGCCTTCCACCACAACTTTAAACTAAAGGCTCTTTGTAAAGTTGTGATGTCACATGAGCGCAACCTATTGTAACACCTATATCCTTTAAACACAGAAAAAGGCATGAGTGGTGCTAAAAAGCTGCCTTGACCTGTTCTTCCTGGCTTCCTGTCTACTTCTCCATTAGCAGTGTTTATGAGTGCGTATGTGTGTACATGATGAGCAGCTGTAGAATGAGGGTCAGCCCTGAAACACCATCCGGCCCACTGTACACATGTTACCACTGGATTCCACTCAGCATCCTTGGGAGGGCAGCACTGATTGGCCCGAGAGAATAAATGCTGCTGAAATTGCGAGCATATTGTTGTAAACACATAGCAAGACATGGCCTCATAGTACTCTGCTCTCGGGTTGTGTCTCGGTGAAATAAATCAAAAGTGAAAAGCTGTCGAATCAAAGCAGAGGCGCCAGACATGATACATGAACATCAGAGCGAGAGACAGCAAGCGCAAACAAGGCATCTGCTAAATAAATATAGGAGACACAAGGCTGGACGCACTTGTTCTATGACACAACACAAGAATCAAGTTTATTTTAAAGCGTCTTTGGCCAAATATGTTTTTCAAATACAAAGATGGTTGCAAAGTGCACCAATAAACTGTTTAAAGTACCAAAGTATCTGGGAAGCCACAACTTCACCCCAAATCCTAACAACTAAAAAAGTTCCTTAAAATGCATGAATTCACTGGAATTTATGAACAAACTCATCATTTATCTACACACAAAGAGAACAGGCCACTATGACAGCGGGGACAGGCATGTTTCACCAGTCACTTTATGTTATTAACTTACATACTTACACAAACAACCTTACACTTACTAAAAATACTGCATTTATTGTAAAATTTCGATTCCACTACATCTGGATTTGAGTACCTGAGGAAGATCCAATGGGATCGAAAACGTTTTTTGGCATAAGAGTGCAGGCTTCTTTACCTTCTTCATGTAAAATATCTAGACCATATGTTAGTACTTAACTGTTTGGTTTTTTTTGCTAAATTGTTTTCAAATGCTTGATAGTAACCATAAGAAGGTCTAGATTCCTTGCATATGATTCAAAGCATTAAAAATATATAAATTACAATGATGGACTGATGATTAATAACCATTTTGAAAAAGATTTTCAGGATCCAATCAAGTTGATTCATTCTTGGCCATACTGTTTTATTAAAAGTTATAGAGTGTAGCGAACTGGTATAGCGCACAGGAAAATGCATTAGAGTCCACATGTTGGACTATGAATATACATACTGTATGAATGTGCTCAATATAAATATAGTTGAACATGAGAGAGCCTTTTTGAATCTTGTGAATCAAAGGGAACCAGTAGCATGTGCAGCCAATGCTGGTGTTTCCAACAAAGTAGAACCTGGGGCAATGTCTTACGCCTGGATCCTATCTGACCCATGTGGGGAGGCTGTAATTTGTATCTGTATATGTTTTGCACACGCAGGTGCAGACAATGAATGTGACTAATTAGGAGTAAAGTTCGCCTATTAAAATAAAAGAAGCCAAACCTGGGACTTGCAATAGCTGCAGAAGAAATTCTAAACAACCACTACCGCTGCAAACTGTTAGTGAGGGCATGTACGAAATATTACACTCTAAACATAGAAGAGAATAAATCTTGTTTTGTGTGACCATTTAATTAAATTAGATGTTTTATCAAAAGTAACAATACTCGTATATAAATAAGATATTCATACGTTTTTGTTCTGTTTATTTATTACGGTTTATGTTTCAAAAAAGTAAAATACTGATTCAATTTGATGCAGTCCAAGTTTGTTCTCACTCATTATTCACAGCGATTCACAAATTTTCCAGAGACTTGAGTTTGATGGTCACAGTGCGCCAACAATAAAAATATCAATGAAATTAATTTATGCCTTTAATACAACCTCCACTGCTTTCACAACATACGAGTGCTGAGGTATGCTATAAGGTAAGGTAATGTTCTGACATAGCCCTACATTCTTAGAGTCATCAGCCTGTTGCACACTTCTTTTCACACTTTTTTAACATTATTGTTCCGTACAATACTCCAAAATGTCTCCCAATGGGAGCTTAGGCAAACTTTACCACACAATGAAGCAACTTTCATCTCATGTAAACAGCTAATCCCATCAGAGATATTTAGCATAGGTTAAACCAACGGAAATGTTGATGTAGTTTTAGTCTTGAGAAAGGTCATGCTTATTCTAACATGACCACTTCCTTTATCGGGACTCGCTCAGGGAGAAACAGGCATTAGTAGTGTGTTAAAGTAGAGAGGGCTGTACAGAAGGCTGATTGTGTTCAGACGCAGAGGATTTTTACTCACCACAGAACGGGATGTATGATGTATGTAGGCGAGTGAATGCATTTGCTCGAGCTTTCCTCCTATCTTTGAAACCACAATAAATTAACGTTTCATGTCATAAAACACAACTAGCAACATGAAACAAATTTCGCATGCATGTATTTTTGGCCTCTGCCACATCTTTAGATCAGCAATTTCAGTGAAAAAGAGAACTAGCCCTAACTCAATCAGCTCTCAGTATGTACAGTAAAAGTCAGAATGTTTTAAGATAAAGGCAGCATGTAGTGATCTGAATTGTACACAAATGTTACCTAAATAAGGCTCTTTCTGTTGGGGTAAGCATGTATTTATGAAACAACAATGTAAGAACGAACCCAAAATAAAGTTAAAGCATCCAGGGTTAACTTACAACCATAGACTGTAAATATTATTATATATTATATTTTATGACCATTAATAATGACAAAAGGATGTGACAAAATTCCTATATATTTAGATATTTACCCCCACTTTCTGATATTAAAGTATTAATACAGGCATTTCTTTAACCTTCAAATGGACCCAATTAAAAGAGTAAATTAAATACATCTGTCCGATAGAAAAAAAACTGTCACGCATAAAGTCCGCACTTAAAGCTAATAGGCCAGTGTCCGCTCAATCGTTATGGGAATGACCTGGATAGACAGAGCTCCATTGTGCATCCTCATGACATTTGCCGACAGCCGAAACACGGGATGTATGTAGGCGAGCAACAGTACATTTTCCTAAAACTTCAACACCTACATTCTCTTTTGCATGCATGCGCTGTATGGGTCCATCCGTGCAGTTTACATGTGTCTGACATAGCCCATGTCTGTGTGCATCTGCAGCATCTGGCCAGCGCTGTGCTTAGGGAAAACTCAGAAGGATGTCCTGCCTACACACACTATTCATAAATCCCTCAAAGGAACAAGGCAGTAGCATGCACACATACACGCCAAGCCCACTCATGCTTTCATTCACTGCCTTTTGGTATGGTTGAGATGTCAGCCACACCTTAAGGTCAACAATTTGAGCTGAAAAGAACTCATATGGCCATCCCATTAGTCTAAAAATAGATATGCAATGGGAATGTGTAATAAGAATTCTGAGAATGGAACAATTTATGGAACATATCAAGTGGCTGAAAATGTGTTGTTCCATTTTGGTGAACATACAATCATATCTAAAATAGAACACTGCAATCAGAGAAAGTTATATCTCAAAGTGATATTCCAGCACCTATGACAATTAAAATAACAATTGCGTGGTCATGATAAAGGTTGCTGTCCCAAATGATGAGAAGAATGCCAGAGTGTTGGGCTAAGGTCACAGCAGAACTCAGAAGATGCTACTCCGTCAAAAGTATAGACAACTAGACGAATACTGAACTAAAGTACCATCATTATCTACTCATTAGACTGTACTTAATATTAATAGACAAATTGATTAACATGGGTGGCTGAGTGGATAGCACTCTCGCTTCTCAGCAAGAAGGTCATGGGTTCAAGCCCTGGTCGGAACAGGGCCTTTCTGAGTGGAGTTTGCATGTTCTCCCCTTGTCTGCGTAGGGTAGGTTCCCCTACCACTAAAATCATGCAAAATAGGTATGAATGTAAATGAGAGAGTGTATGGACGGTGTTGATTGGGGGCTATGTAAATAAACATTACTTACTTATTAATATCATGTTATTTCAAACAGGGTGTTGTGTAAAGACCCACCTGGTCCATTGAGGAAGTCTTTGAGCTGAAGACAGAGCAGAGGGGGTGGGATACCCGTTTTACTGTCCACCTCACCAGCCACGGTTTGCAGCCAGTACACATTGTAATCTAGAGATTCTGGTAATGTCTTCCCCAGATCTGATAGGAAAAGCACAATAATGCATTTAGGGACTACAAATAAAGGGACTGTTAATTAAAGGTAACAATATATTTTTACCCAGGCACTTGTAGTCTGATGCCACTCCTCTTAAGGCAACATCAAACACAGAAAGCTCAATCTTCTGCTTTCTGTGGTGGCAGCTGAGCAAGATGGAGGGCTGCATCACCTGGAGGTACAACAGGGGCTCCAACAGCTGGTCCCCGGGCCCTCTGCGCCCCGGCTGCCTCACTATGGTCACTCCCAGGGCCTGTCGGGCAGATGAACGGCTGGGAGCGGGAATACCCTCCAGAGAGAGCAGGCTGGTCCTCAAGCGTGGTGAAGCAGGCTGAGATGTGTTGCTATTCAGTATGTCCTCTGCGGTTAGCCCTGCCAGGGACCCTTGTGTGGATGCGAAAGCGGGATCCGGAGTGGGTGACAGAGACATCGGCGGTGAGGCCGCTTGCGTTTCAGGTAGATTGAGAGCGCTCTTGCCCATCTAAAAAAAAATAAAAAAATAAAAGGATGCACCCAACAACCAGATGAGACAGAAATATTGATAAAATACTCAATGTCTGTATAGGGACAAAATATGAACATGATAATATGACTCAATATCAACAAAAGTATTCACCTTATCGGTAGGTTCTTTTTTCTCAGGTGTGCTGAGAGTGTCTGATGGTGAGGGACAAGAACAGGCATAGGTCATGACTGAGAGTCTGCTGGCAGTGAGGAAGATGTCGAAGGGGATGAAGCTAAGATTTTTGGTGATAGTGGATTTGTGTGAAGGCCTGGCGATGCAGTGGTGGCTGGTTCCACTCTGTTGCTCGATTTGGACAATACGAATGCAGGCACTGTCACTGCCAAAACCACTGTCTTGTCCTGTGCCGACGTGACGGGGCGGAACCTCCACACCTGCAGAGGGATCCCGACTGCGGAGCTTCTTCTCGTGACGACGCACCTAAAAGATTATTCATTCACACACATTAGGGGGTAGGCACTTTATTACTGTTTATTATTATTATTACTATCATACTGCAAATGGCCACTAAAATGGAATCTTGAATCTTATTGCACGCAGTGAAGCTCCCGCCCTACTCTCCTTTCTCTTTAAGCCGCTTCTTCTACCAAAAATGACCAGACAATAACAGAGAAACAACCCGGGAATAGACCACCATTTGAGAATGACGTGGCAAACATTTCACTCTGGACCTAGACGTAAAAACAAATCCTAATGGGGCTCTATATAAACAAATATTCCCTGCTCTTGAATTTTGCACACACTTTGCAATTAATAGCAAAACAAGCATCCAGCAAGATTAATCCTTATTAAAAATGTTGATAATTCTCACCAGTAACAATAGTAAGTTTGGAGTTCTCCTGGAGCAACAACAGCAGCAGCAAAATAACAGGTGTATCTAATGATTTAACTATATTGTAAAAAAAGTACTTTTTATTTATTGTTGTTGACTACAATCTGACTTTACAAGAAAAAAAGGCACAGACTGAATGGTTTGCTTGATTGAAACCATACTCAAATGAAGCGAAAGAAGCAGAGCAGGCTTCAGAGACATTAAGCATGCAGCGGTAGGTCTCTGCGGCCTTGCAATCTTTTTGTACTTGCATTATTGGTATGCTTTATAAAAAAGTCCCTTACTCCAACAAATCGAATTGTTATGTACCGCAACTGTGGCATTGTGTAAAAAGGAGCAGAGATTTTATGCTTGGGATGTCAGAAGACTTCCAGCCTCTGTGGCAATAAAAGGCTTTCAGTGACAGCTGAAATAAATCACACTGAAGTAGGTTGCTGTGTTTCAAGCAACAATGAAAACAGGCATCTTTATCCAGCTACCAAAAGCATGCCATCCTGGAGACTATAAAGGAACCGTGGCTCGTTCCCACAAGGAACAAATGAGACAAACATACAAAACTAAATTGTACCTAGCAAAAGATGGACTGGTATTGCACTAGTAATGTGTTTCAAATGAGGAAAAGCTGGGAATGAGAACGACTAAACAAAAACCTTTTCCACATAATATTTGGATTGGAAAATGTTCATAACCATGGAGAACTCGTGTAAAAAACAATTACGCAAAAGTGTTGCATACAAACATAGGTGTAAAGAGATGTCAGTGTCCACCAAAACATTCATTTAAAATTAATACATTATGAAAAAAGATTGCCACCAAAACAAATTCCACACGTTTATCCGATTACCAGGGCCATTTCCTTGTGTTCTCCATCCACCTTAATTGGTGCAACATCAGTTCCAATTAGCTACTGCTGCATTTGTAACATAATGATGATAAATAGTGAAACTGGAGAGTCACACAGAAGGATTTTCGGCTCTCAAGGTGTGTCCTGTCCAGCTTCCCCCAGCGTCATAGCCCTTACACACACATTCCCATACTCACACGCATGCACAAACACTCACACAGACTCACACACACACATGCACGCACACACGCACATCCAAAGTCCTGCACATGGTTGCCATTACTGTGTTCATTCAGCTGCCCCTTCCCCTCTTTACATTGCTCCCGCTTGCTCGGATTTTAAATGTATATTATTGCTGTGGTGCCGATAGTGTTTCAGGACCTCCAAGCGGATACTAAAGCCACTGGCAACACATTACACGGAATACTTGACTTATTAGATATTTCCTATTCTAAACAGTGTCATCAAAGGCTAAGAACAAGATCCATATAAAACGCAGCGGCATGTCTGTTCAGTTCTTTTGGGCCGGGTCTGGATGCAGAGAGCTTCCATAGGTTCGGCCTTTGCCAGATCCCTCTCTGTTCTCTGGTCTAATGAGGACAGGATGTGTGCACTTCGTTCTTTTCTACAGAAATGTAAGATTTTCCAAGTACTGTATCAAGATGAGAGGAGAGCAGATCTTTGCCTGCGTCTCCATGTGTGTTGTGTTAAGAAGTTTTGGTATTGGCCTAGTTCCAGAGGTTGGTAGTATTGAATTTAACTAATTCTCCATGTGTTTTGTAATAATCTGCTTTAGCTATACTTCATGAGTATAATTTTGAAGTAACAATACATTCTGTATGTTGTTTTGTGTGCAGAGCTTTACTGTACTATACTTTTTGACGAGCCTTCGCCGCTGCCCCCCCTCTCTGGAACTCACTCCCACAACCCATCAGAAACTCTGACTCGTTTGATGTATTATTATTATTATTGCTATTCACACACACAATCAATAATTTCAATTTTGTTAAGCATAGTATTTTTAGCTAAACAAAGGCAGGGTTTCTGAAGAGCATCAAACAGCAGCAGCAGAGCCAGACTGCCAGATCGTCTTGATCGTGTGCCCTCCCAAAGCTTTGACCATACACATGCATTTACAATTAAAGCCAATACCCTGTCTTCTCCTTAACCACCACTACAAGAGATTGCCCCCTAAGCACATTTTTGTCTATATTTAGATGTGCTTACAAGTGGAATATGGGATAATAGGGAACACAATCAGCGGCATGAAGAGAAAGGAGACAGTTGTTCATGAAGCTTGAATCAGCAGATGTAATCAGAGTATTAAATGTATAAGCCACACAGGAACAGAACTTTCCCAGGCTTGATCTTAACCAAACAAAAGGCTAACTCACTACATGTCTGAGCTTAGTTTGATCCATAATGGCCAATACCCTGTTTACCACAAAAAGGATACAAAAGAAAAGGAGAAAAAAATGCTTGAACAACATATTGCTGACATAAGCATTTTTTAATCCACATAAGAAACAGTAAAGTTAACATTTGAGAGTTCGTCCGCTTGCTTTTCACTGATGCATTTTTACCCAATCGTATCATTGTAAATACACAGCACATCTGAATACTCGTACTACAGCGCACGTATGCACCAAAAACTACTTTGAACTTTGCATGCTTCAACCTTTCAGCAATTTACTCATTGACAGAGAGCAATAAATCTTGCAGACACAAGCAGCAGCTAAAGGCAGAGTTGCAGCTGAAATCCCGCTTTCCAAACATTATGGTGTGTTGAATTATATAATGACTATAGGGTGAAGTGCTGGTTCCAGATCCCAGTGCAATCTTGAGTTGGACTTTGCCGATCGTGATCTCAAACGTGTACGATTATTGTACAGCCTACTCCCCGGCTGCCAATCCTTGAGGTCATCCCTTTGGAGGCCTGCGATCTGTGGCTGAACATTGTTAGAGAATAAATGATAATCCCCAAAGTGTGAAAGTATGTAAATGTCTCAAGTGGATCAATTAAGTTTGAGTGCATCTGTACAAACTCTTGACCCTGTGCCTTTTAATTTTGTTATTTATTTTATGGTTTTACATGTATTAATCTTTATAGAAAATATTAGGAAGTTACTTGTTCCTAATGTCTTGTTTATCAAGATCAGTATAGTAATAAAACACAATGTGCAAATTATGCAACCCAAAGTACAGTTAAAAGCATGCCTGACTCTCAAACTACAGTAAAACACAGTACTTTCTCAATGCGCCAATTCACACATCATTGGATGCCAAGTAAATGCTCCCAAATCTTCTTAATTAGGTATAGTATAATCCCAGAAATGATGTCTCCAGTTTTGCCAATCACATGCATCTGTATGACTCCTGACTCCTGACCCCTGCTTCTGTCAGTACAACCCAGAAACAGCTTGGCCAAAATGGGGCTAATGTGCGGAAGCAAATGTCACTTCACCCAAATGCCACCCGCTTTACAGTGCTGGCCACTGGTCCAGCATGACAACATCCCATATGCTGCCGATTGGTTCCAGATGAATGAAAAGTAGGTTGAAATTGGGGTTCAGAGATCAGGGAACATTTTTCAAGATGATGAGGAGGCCCTTGGTAGTTGACAGGAAGGGATATAATAAATATGAAGTCAGTAACAGAGGTGTCCAGTATTACTTTAAACAGCTCAATTTAACAAGCAGGTTTACTCAATGAGGTCTGCATCCAGTCATTTTATGAAGCACAGGATTCAGGGAGAACTGGTGTTGGTGGTTAATACCAGACTTGAAGGGAAAAAGACAGTATGGCTTAAATCTTTGCTAGCGGCCTGATGAGGTAGAGAACTCAGAACAGGAAACTTCAAGAATGATTTGAGAGATTCAAAAAATGAACGGTGTAATTGTGTGACAATTTGTGTTCAGTTTAGATGTTTAAGACATCCACTTAAAAAGTAGTTTTTTTGGACTATAGTGTGATTGATGTACATTATACAATATTTATTTTAATTGTAATGTGTTATGCCAATGTTAACTCCCATACATTTCATGGGCTTGAATGTTTCATGTTTACCACAGTTTTCCCATGATTTTTCTTCTTTTGAACCCATTGAATTGCATGGGAAGTCATAATCTTAAATCTTTGTGACAAAGCATTCACTTAGCTACTTGCAGCAGGATGCTTGCATGGAAATTAACTTCTGTATCTTGACTCCATCAGAGTTTACAGGTTAGGCCCCTGCTGTGATACCCACAATTGTTTACCAGAACTATAAACTTGCAGCAGGACCCTGTTCCTTTATACACATGCAAGAAAACTTCAATGCTGTAATTCCTCATCTTAATCCCAAATAATAACACCAATACTTAACCAAATGCCATAAAGAGGCTCTTAGTCCCTTGTGGCACACGGGGAAGGGAAGACATTTATAATATGAAGTTCCCATTCTTTGTAAGCCATAAGCAGACACAAAGCAAAAAGGGGCATCAAAGGCAGTCATTTAATGCATTGAACTTTGTTTCAATAACAAAGACAACCTGCTATGCACTTTAACTGAACCACAACAAAGGAGAAGGGGGAGGTCATGACCTGGAGCTCGGCAAATGGAGGCAGAGTGCCTCGGAGACTGTCAACTGTACTTTAAACCCTACATGGCTCACTTTAACTAGCTTCTCCAGACTCCTCCATCTTTACTATTATACTGTATTAAATGTGATAATGTGCTAATGGGTGGCTTTCTAAAGCTAACAG